TTCTAGCAGCACTTATCAGAAGAACCAAGTTCTACAAACTCTTACACTTAAAGATAAGGCTGCAAATAAACTGGGTCATCCCCTTTCCTTTCAGTGAGTCAAAATTTTTTTAGATACACGAGCGAAAATTGGATGCAGAGAGCTTATTTGCACGTCTCAAGGAATAATTGTAACTATAGAGATACACACCTCCTTCTCTTCAAACAATTGTGTATATATTAATTCCATTAGAAAAAAATCAAAACAACTGTTCCTAAAAAGGAAGCATAGAAAGAAAGACATACAGTAGCATAGACTCTTCTGGTTAAATGAATGGAACCTTCTAAACAGAGCAAGTTAGCACTTCAAGTCTTACCCAACTGTACTACCTCTCAACTGGAACTTTGACTCTTTTATATCTCTCTGAGAGAGAGGAAAGCACCAAGGAAAAGCTCCAAAGTGCTTCTTGCAATTAACACTGAGGGGTGGGCTCCATGAACACCTTCAAAATGATGGGTTTTCATCTTGGTTATCTTATGCATTTGGGGATGGAAAGCAAGATAAGTGGAAATACAGCCAACCAACCCTCTCCCACCACTCCATTTTCATTAGAAAATCCTTAACTCCTGAAGAAAATTTTTCACTCTGTGAAACATACTACGCCAGGATCTCCCCTTTGGTGAGGATGCTCACTGAAGGTTCTACTCCTCGAGGTTGAGAGATTTCTTGCCGCAACAGAGTTTCCGGTTCTACTCCTCGAGGTTGAGGGAATCCTTGCCGCAACAGAGTTTCGGTAAGTGACTAATAGCATGCTAAACTTTGAAGTTTTATCTAAGTAATGTAAAGGATTAATTGTGCATATATAATCCTTTAGACATAAACCGTTGACCAAGTCTGGGACTAGGATTGGATCCAGCCGCACCCAGACTCCTCTCTGAGAGGGAGTTTGGTCCCTGACAGTTCTGTCTGACCCTGTCCTCTGTGCAGTAAATAATAGAGTGTACTCTGACATCGAATCTTGTAAACACTATCGCATTTACCACTGGTTTTATCACACTACTGGTTTTGTTAAATCACTGTTTCACCTTAATAAATATTTCTCTGCTTCACTCTAACTAGTGAAGTTAATCACTCCGTCCGTGACAATCAGTCAAATTACTGATAAGTATCTTAGCCCTCACAGGATGTTCTGAATGCCTTAGTATCATCTATAGGTTTTATACACAACAACATTACTTGAAATATCAGCATAGGACTGCAGTTTCTTGACTGCCCATCTCAGGCTTCAGCTGAAATATCTGTAACCAGTATTACAGCTACAGTGCAGGGGGGAAAGAAACCTACTTCTGGCTGTGAAAATAATCCATCCTCTGAGGGCAGAAAAAAAAGTAAGTCTGTTGGATGCTTGAGAGGTTGCCACAAAGCTTACTTGAGCTTGTAGGTGAAATCTGATATGCAGAATCCCAAATGCATAATACTTATGATAATATGACAATAAACTCTCATTTTAATTACAAAATAGGTAATAATTGTGTCCCGAAGTTTTGTACCTGTTCAGCTCAGCAAAGAAAGTAAATGCAAACAGTAATTTACTGGCTAAACCATTTATTCCATTATCTGACCCGGATGCAAGTCAAAGGGAAATACTGAACCATGGCAAAGTGCATCCATTATCTCCATGTTCTTATTTTTCTACACTGTATGAATACAAACCAAAAGAAGTGTATTTGACTGAGAATGTGAATTCTTAGGTATTTTCTGTGACCTGGATAAATTGCCAACTAGAAACACGTGTTTTGGAGGGTAGAGATCCACCTCTAGTCTCTTTCCAACAGAGGACAGAAATCGGGAAAGCTACTTTCAATGCTGTCTTCTTAAATTAAGGATTCAGCTTTAATTCACAAGTGGACAAACAGGCATACATTTATGAGTCACCTCATTCTCATTCTTATTATGGGGAAGAGAGGGGCTGGTATGAAAGACAAGGAAGTCTGAATGGAGAGAGAGCACGTAATAGCAAAACTGGTGTGTACATATAAAGTCATCTTTGTTGTTATTGTTATTAAAAAATTAATATTTATTGTCTCATGATAAAACATGACAACAGCTGATTATGTATGCTTGTGAGGTTTGACATACTCTCACATTCTTCAAGCCTCAAATTCCAAGGAAGTCCCTGTCTAAAGTGTCTCCTTATTGATGTCAGTGTGTAAAAGCATATTGGGGAAAAAAAGTGACTTGACACAGTTCTGGTACAACTTTTATCTTCTTAAGCAAAGAGCAAAAGTCTTAAGCAACACATCCTCAGTTGGGTTTTTAACTTCTTTAGGAAAATTAACAAGAAAACAAGGCTATCAGACTACGGAAATGTCAATATGAAACACAAAGACTCCAGTATCATCCACTTCTATTGTCTTAGATGTAAGCTTTCATTGCCAGCTGTCTTTCTACAATGAGTGCCTCAAACTACTTTACCAAGTAGATTCCAAGTAAATTTCCTTGAACATCTGATAATTTGGTATTTGCATTTGCAAAATATCTGATACATAGCTTGTTCCATCCATGCAGGTTCATCTAACCTTTGTCCTTTTGAGGGTATTTGGTTTCATACAATTTTTTCATTGGCACTACTCCCGAATACAGAAAAAAGGTGACATTTGCTTACAGAACCTTAACTGACTCAAGGAGCTTACTTTGTTTTTAATTGCTACTCAGTTCATCTCTACAGTTGTGAAACTTCTACAGATTTTCATTAATATTTTTTATTCAGATCCCCAGTGAGGAAGATCTTGAAGGTCTAGTTGGTGTGAAGAGTTTCAAGACTGCTTCAGAAGAAACCTCTGAAGTAAGAATGCCAGCTTAGAAAACATCACATTCAAAAGTAAAACAAAAGAATGTGTTGATTTCCATGTTATAGTGCCCTTGTACTTAAGTCAAAAGCCCTGCCTCTGACTAATTATTGCTTTTTCATTCTACCTAGAGTAAAAGAGGCATGCCTTTTAAGAGGAGGTGTACTTCTTATCTTTTTCATGATTCTCACCTTCCCCATTGCTTTGATAACAAACCACTTCACTACTTTTCATTTTTCCCTTGGAAGCTCTTCCACAAGCTAAGGGGTGTTTATAGTTTCCAGTAGAATTTATGGTCATCTTTTGAGAAGCAAAATTCTGAGGCAGAGAAGGGTGTCAAAGTTTACTTAATCAAAGATGTTACAGCCTTCCTTATCTGTTTAGCATAAGACACAAAGAACTACAAGAAACTGAGTATTTCTTCACATATAGCCTTCCTCAAGGAAAACGTGCAGTTCTACAGAGAATATCTGACAAAATCTTTCACCACAATACAGACCTCTGCATTATTTTTACAACCCCAAGAAGCAATGCAAGCCTCAAACTCACACTAATGAATACACCTCTTTGTAAGGAGATACTTGAGCTGAAGTGAGCTCCAACTACTTAATACATGCCAAAAATGTACAGATGTAGGTTGGATGAGCATACTCCTTTATGCACTTGCTTAGGAGGTCAAGGGTTTTCAAGCAGTACAACTAGCAGTACTGTGCAGCTCAAGATTACCGGTCATCAGTAAACTGTTACTCAAATGACAGCATTTAGGTCCTGTATATTTTGTCTTTCAGCATCTAGTCTCTCCCAGGAAGATTATGATAGGTTATTCTATTTAATCCATAAAGACTTAAAGTTCAGATGATATGTTTGCCAAATAGACTGACTATATGTAATGCAAATACAAAGGATCAGATTCCGCTTCCATTTCCCTAAAAAGCAGGCCTATCACCTACACACAGTGAGATTATACCCCAAAAGTCTTCAAACTGTCACACAATTTGTTTCCATGCCTGCCAAATGCTATCGCTAACTTCCATTGATTCAACTGAAATGCCATTCTAACAATTCTATTCATATTGCGCTATTCTTTACAGGCCCTCACCATTTTAGGAGCTTTCTATAACAATTCTATTCATATTGCGCTATTCTTTAAAAAATAGTTATGGGCCCTCACCATTTTCTACGTACTTTGATCAGTTCTGCAATCTACCTTTTACATATTTATCCTTTATATATAAATACATATGTACATACACATTTAGATACAGATATACACAAACTGCAATCAGATTTGATACAGCTGAACTTTAATATATTTAAATTTTTAGTAATACACTATCTCTTCCTAAAATAAAAGATTTGATACAGCTGAACTTTAATATATTTAGTTTAAATTTTAATAATACACTATCTCTTCCTAAAAAAAATATAAATAGTATCACTTATATCTGAACAAATTACATACTTAGAAATTCAAGGTATAACAAATCAGCCTTCCAAACTTACAAAAAGGTCAGAAATATCAAAGATGCCTTCCTACTTACATTCTGCAAAAGAATGTTTAACTCAAGAATATTGCAGCATAAAACCTGTGCTTTGATTTGTATTCTCCCTATTCAAAGCTAGTAAAAAAAGTGTTGTTTACATTATTTTAAATATTTCATGTCTAAAACAAAGCTTGTTAAAATATATCTATGAAAAATTTTATGCTAGAATAACAAGTCTGAAATTGATATGCAAAAACAATCACTCCAGATATAAACCACAAAGGTTCAAAAATCCAACACAAATGCAACACAGCAGTCTGAGTCACTGGAAGGTGCTCGTTTCCTACAGTAAAATTAAAGAACCTTAGGAATGAGACAGCAGTAGAAATGAGAAGAGACACACAGAAAGACAATGCATACTTCATTAAAGTAAAAAAGAAAAAAAAAAGAAAAAAAAAGAAAATAAACCAAAGATGATGCAGACTACCAAACACTTAGACTTTAAAAAAAAAAAAACAAAGGTTAACATTTAAATGCGTTTTCTTTCTCCTCAGGTAACAAGATACTAACAAGAAGAAAGGCAGAACCCATTTTGTGCAGTTCTTTGAAAGGACAGATTCAGCGCATGGAAGAAGTGACTGGGAGGACGGGCTTATTTCCAGCCCAGCCAGGAAGGAAGACCAAATACCTTTGTGCTTGTCCCGTTTATGCTTTAGCTGTGCTGGATGGGGTCTGATTCTGGCTAGAGCCTGCTCTCGATGGTTCATAAAAATAGGACCAGGAAATACAAGGGGGCCTGAGGAGAAACATTTTGCACATGCATAGGACAGCTCACAAAATGGAAACAGTGTGTTAAACAAAATTCAAATTAAAAGCAAAGAAAAAAATGAATCACAATTAAATAATAATATTTTTTTCCTAAATACAAAAGGCCCTAAAAGAAAGTTGCCATTTTTTTATAAGATGACCAAAATATTATGCAAAGAAGCAATACACATCCAGCAGTGACACTTTTATCTGAACCTGTAAGTATGCAACTGTACTCCAACCGATAGAAATAAAATAGACTCACACACTGGAGTAAAATTTGATAGCAAATACCTATTACTGTCTTTAGTAGTTAAAAAAATTAATTATCATAGCTTACATCCTACAACTTTACATACAAAGTACTCATTCGGAACAACAACAAAGCTAAATTTAAAAAAAAATAACTGTACAAGTGCTCATAATTACCAGATTTAAAATACAGAGTTACCACTTATAAAGAAAATAGCTATGCAAAATACCTGTTCCATGAAGAAAATTATTCAAATCATACGATTATTTTTCTTATCTACTTACTAATTCTGAAATCTATTTAAGTTATTTTAAAAATAATTCCCATCTATGTAAAAGCCTTCAAGAGAAGATTTGCATTTGAAGAAAGCAATGATGTATGTATCTAAAATTTTCTCCAGACTACTTTTTCTTTCTAAAATCCAGGCCCAAAGCTGTGCTGTATTAAGTTTAATTGAGGCTGATTACACGTAGATCACGGACCAACAATTTGTTCCTTAAAACTGTTTTTTTTCCTCTATTTTATAGGCTAAGCATTCCACCAAGAATTTCTTTGGAGGCATCTCCTTCTAGAAGTGTCACATTTAATGGAACCCATGAATCAGGAGCTGCTAATTCTGCCAAATGTCACTCCACGCATTCTCAGACCCAGTCCTTCCATGGACTTTCAAGAAAAAAAAAAACACAACCACCCACCAACAAAAAACACCCAACACAATCCAACAACTACCAAAAAAGCTAAAAAAAAACCCCTCCAAAACAAAACACCCCAAATAGGCTTTGTGTCATGTTTTTAGCAGCTTATGTGAAACTTCGAAAACAAGTAATCCTCCTCCTGGAAGCGTTCCAGGCCAGGCTGGATGGGGCCTTGAGCAACCTGCTCTAGTGGGAGGTATCCCTGCCCATGGCAGGGGGGTTGGAACTCCATGATCTTTGAGGTGCCTTCCAACCCTAACCATTCTATGATTCCCAAAATCACCGATACTATTTCCTTAGCTAAACTTTATTGACAAGTTAATGTAGGCTGAACTTGTCATAAATGCCCATTGTCCCAGGTTTCCTGCGGTCAACCTTAGGCCATCAGTTTCTTCACTAATAGTAAACAGTATGGAAAAAAATTTAAGTGGAAGTTAGGCCAAGTCTATCCACCGCTAGAACTTTCAGATGAAGAAATATTGTCTTCACACAAAGAAGTTCCCAGATTTTAGCGTTAAGTTAAAAAAGGAAAAATGTTTTTAAAATCCATGACTGCCTTTCCCCCTAGCTTTTGAGATTTATACATGTGTTAGCTAATATAATGGCCAAAAAATCTTATTAATCATACATTTCTATACACAGCACAGATTTTTTTCTTTTGTTTTGGTTCTACTGCATTTATCTGGACTCTCTTTATCCCAGAAGAGATCCTCTTGTTAATTAAAAACTCCTTCTGAAGTTCAAGGATCTTTATTTACTATTGCTTCACTTTCATCTTGCAGACTCTTCCTTTAGTTGTCTTGCTACTGCTCCCACTTTTCACAGTCTCCTCTCAATTGGAGCTTCCATTTAATAGATATATTTTTGGTAAAGATTACTTTTTTGCCAGGCCACTTGCTGTGGTTAATAATCTATTTCCCAGTGTTTAGACTTACACAGAAAATGATACCATGCTTTCCCTCTTTCCAAGTTGTAAGGGATATTCTGAGGAGTATACTGGGGAAGAACAGGAAAAGGCAAGAAAGGAGAAAGACATGAATGACAAGCAGATTAGAAAAACTAAAAATGTTTGAAGGACAAAAGATAGAGGGGAAAGCTGGATCAAGAAGAGGAAGGGAAAAAAGAAAAGAAGAAAAAAGCACAAAAGGCTGTTGGCTCCAGCACGGTGCTAGCACACGGCTGCCTTTAGGTGCCAAGTCACTCATCTGAATTATACTTTCCTAGTCAAGGTGACAACTCTGTAACAGTATCTAACCTTCTGACCAAAGCAGGGTTTATCTTTGCTTCTGGACATTCCTATAAACTCTACATTCCCACCTGTTATGTAAAAGAACAGGTTAAAGTTAAATGCAATATATCTCCATTTCATAATAATTTTTACCCAATCCATGTAACAGCATGTGCAAGGGTGTCACCCTCTTTAGCTTTTTATGCATGCTAAACCTGTAACACAATCATAATATGGTAGGAAATATCTAAATTTTGATTACATTATGATGCCCGTATGTTCAGACATGGGCCGAGACAATGTAAACTATCTCCTCTCCCTCCAAAATACCACCACAGAAAACACAACACTACAACAACTCATAGAGACCATATCTGCTCTCTACTTAGATCAGAGGTTGCCTGTACAACAGGAGCAGAGTTTAGGTACTAAGAATAATTCTGGTGGAACAATTCAACCGTGCATTAGACACTTCCTTAATTTTCTTAAAAATGAAAAGGCATTAATACTGCAGAGTATTATTTTAAAAACTCTTCTAGAAGCCTCCAACACAGATCTACTTGGGGAATAATTACTATTCCCAGTTATTTTAGTAGCTCAAATTACAGAGATAAGCAAAGGAGAGTCACTGGTAAACTACAGGGCTGCTGTTTCAAATCAGATGCTATATGATATTCACTCTCTCCCTTTATTTTTTTTTTATGGAATGTTTTTCCATAGCTAAAATGTGAGGTTAAATATCCCTAGCCCAGGAAATGTCAAGATTAGCTTTTCTTTCTTGGTCTGCAGGATCCAGGCCTTTCAAGATGGACTTTATCTGGCAGTGAATTGAGAGCATAAAGAAAAAAAAGAACAAACACATTTATCCACAGAAATAACTTCATTTTCTAGCAAGATGCATACCCACGTAAATGCATTTGTTAAATAATGCAGTAGACTACAGCAAAACATACCCAATTAATATTATCCCAACATGCACTTATGTGCTTTTGCATTCTTAGCCATCTAAGCACTTTGTCAGAACTATCAAAGAGTTTATTATGTGATTTGAATTTATATTACACATAATTTGATTTCTTCTAGCACCTTTCCCTAAACAAATGCTATTTGGCAAGCCGTGATTACAGAAGGCAGAAATCAATGATCTCAAACGGTGACTTCTACGCCAGCGCACTACATGTAGCAGGCTACCCCAAAAAATAGTACATGGCCACACAACTGAAGACTGAATCACAAGGAACATACAGAACCAGTGTATAAATTAAGGTGGCACAGCAAAAGTCCTGGATTGGATGGCACTTTATGTTGTAGTTTTTGTTTATGTAGTTTTTGCTTCTGGAATACTTGTAACATCAAAACCAGGCAGGTGCAGGTTTGGGTTTGTTTTGGTTTTTTTTAAAATACTAAAAATATGGAGGCAAACCACTAATACAGAAAAATAGTTATCTAACAGATAAAGGGATAAGCTGCTCTGGCTCTACTTCTAACCACAGAAATGGAAGCAAACTGTAATGTTTCTCTGCTGCTCTTTTTTTCTTTCCCAAGTGAAATTTACCTCCCAGCTCTCTCATCATTACCTTTCTGGGCTGAATAGCAGCAGCTTTCAATAATATCCAGGCATTCAATGAGAATTTAAGAAAAAAACAATTGTTAGCTGTACCTAATATTTGCGAGCAGCATGCAATGTAGCTCCAACATGACCTAGACAAAGGAATAAAACAGGCTTCCCCTCTCCACCTCACAGCTAAAATTAACCACAAAGAGCCAAAGAAAAATAAATATTTCATCCTTTTCCACACACATAGGAAACGATAAGCTTTCTCTTCCTAGTTGCTCATTATTTCTGGTAAGGCCAGTAATTTCTTACATGGAAGTGAAATAAAGCCACAATTTGCCCCACAAGGTTCACTGGCACGGAGTCTAGAAACAAAGTTTGATCAAACTGCACTTTTTGTATTTGAGTAAAAACAGTATCTAATTTCTAAAGGAGAATCAAAACTAACACACCAGGAACTTAAAGAGCATAATATTCCAATAAAGCTGTTCCCCTTCTCAACACACAATCTTACCAACCACATCATCATGCTTCACTAAAATATTATGATTTACATCAGTCTAAACCTCTCAACTTTAATTATTTAACAGATTAAGACAATGAGGCATTTTAAAACAAGAAGAGTACTGAAAACCTGTTACAATGCATAATGGTTGTGTGGAAAATCAACAATAATTCCTACGGTAGATAACATATAAGGCAATAAAATTTTGAAACGATTCAGTGTTTGGTTTTGTTTTGTAATTCAGTCAGTATATGAATTTTTTTCATGTATTCAAATATAGAAACACTCTTTTTATAAAACAAGAATTTCTGCTTACTATTATACAAGTCATTCAATAATTGATAACAATAATTAAATAATTCATATTATAGCTAAATAGGATTGCAGCCATTTCAACTTTTCATATAAAAGGCATATAAACTTATCATATAAAAAAATGGTTTAGGATCTGCATTTCAAATACCTATTATTCAACTAAGAAACGGAAAAAAATAACAAATCGAACTATATGAAAGTGATACAAAATGCTACTCTTTACCATTAAAATTCTGATTCTTATGAGTAGACCTTGTTAAATATACAGATTTTTCACAACCTTCCAAAAGCATGCTAAATAATGTGGTATTTAGCTAGGTATTTAGGTTCTGATTTTTGTTTGGTTACTGTATTGGCTCAGTGGAGCAAAATTAATTAACTTCCATTCTTAGAAAACAGACAAAGAAGTTTGCTTAAAGTATTCAAGCCTCTCATCAATAAGAAAGTCACTTACCTCTTCCTTCTTCCAATCTATGTCTCCTATTTACACGTTGCCGCTTTTCTTCTTGTCGTAACTGAAGGTGTTCTTCAATATTAACTCCAGGAACAGGGACAGCTACATAGATGAATAAAATATGTAAAACTACCTTTAAAATTGTTATGATGGTAATAAACCCTAGAAGAAGGTAAGTAATTGAAAAATGAAGCCTACTTACTACCTGCTCTTTACATGGCTCCACCAGAATATTATAGAAACAAAGGAGTTGAGTAAACTTGCAGAAGAGCTTTAGGCATTATTTCTGAATTTGAAACTTTTCATTAATATGCCACAACACCAACATCACTGAATACCATTTAGAACTTACTTTTTTTATGCATATACATATTTATATCTAATTATGTGTTTTCATGGTTATCTCTTTTTTTTTCCCAAAAAACTTCCAGAAAGGATTATTATTAGAACAAGCTCAACATTCGTTAAATTTTATAAATGTTTTAAGTAGACCAGCTATTTTCTAGCTTAAGAATGCTTTACCACTATGTGTTTCATGCTTACTAAGAAGCATGAAATTACCTTTAATGCATGTATACATCTGGACATAAATCTGACGTATTTACCAAACTAACTAGTTTAATAGGAATTTGAAACAAACTGGTAAGCACTTCTTTAAACAGGAAACATGACCTGATGCAACAATACAACTACTATAAGCACAACCTTTTTCCAATTTTTTTTTCCCAGCAAATTGCAAAAACATAAAAAAAAAAATATACCTTGCCCTCAACGTCAAAGGAAAACTCCACCTGGAAGCACTGTCACTTTTCTTTAGACAAATGCAGTCAACCACCCTCACCTCAAACTATGCCAAGGCCACCACAGGACCAAGAGCTGTTGTGTCCTATCCTGCTAGGGGAGGAGTTAGCAAAGCAGAGGTTACCACAAAACCTGTAACTCCTCCCTGGTCATGCATGAGAAGAGAGCTGTGAAGCTGAGCTGCTAGTGCCACGTTCACCATCAGTATAAACCTGCTTCTGCGATAGCAAATTACATTTAGAAATATCTGTAAGAAAGGATCAGGACTGTGCAGTGAGGATATTTGGAATATTAACTTACCATGAGAACCACTCCTAGTTTCTAT